ATAGCCATCAATAATCAAAATGAAAATCAAGTTCAAATTAAATTATCGCAAATGGGTAAACAGACATGCAGCAAAGTTTCAAGGTGGGCGCTCATAATTTTCGGCTTTTGGGCTTTTTCCACCTCAATCAATTTAAAACGATATCCAATTAAAATTTCATTTTATTGGCAAAAAAAAGAAGAGTTTATGAAAAATTTCTATTGAAGATACAGACAGACGCATGAACACACGAATATAAAATCCGACAAGGAAAGGAGCATTATTGATTTTCACAATTTTACCATTAAATTGAGGTCACCGAACTTGCACATATTTTTTTTTTGCAATATAAAAACGGAGTCAGAGTGATAGTAACAAAAAGAAGTTTCGTCCCTTTCTTAAGCAAGCAAAAAAAAACAAAGGGAAAGAATAAATACTTTTAAACACATATTTAATTGAAATCACGCTTCGAGCCAATCACACAATATAAATTAAGCATGCTTAGTGTTGGGGTAAGTTTGGTTGTTAAGGCTTGCATAATTTATGGATTTTCAGACCTCAATTCATATTTTAAAACCTCAAATTCTTCTTAGAAACTGACCTGAAGTCGAAACGTAACTAATGAACAGTCTCTCATTAAAATAATGATTGAAAAATGAAGAAGATCGACTAAGTGAAACCTTTGAGCCCAGCATGGCTATTATTCCACACCAAAGATGAATTTTTGTATGTAATGAGAACAATAGAGCACCGGAAGCTTGACGCAAAAGATTCATGACTTTTATTTCATCTCTCATCTCTCACATTTGTTGAAAGAATTTTTTCAAAAAATCTCTCCCGCGAAATCTCTCGAAATTAATCAACAATTGTAAGAATATGAGAAGCTCAAATACAAAAGCAAAGTACTGTGATCGAGTGAACGGAAATTTGCCAAAATTAGTTTTAATCTTACAATTCTTCATCACTTTTTTATTTCGTAGGAAAAAAAAGAGAATGAAAAACTAGAAGAAAAAAAAAATTCCTCAAAACGACAATTCAACTCATTGAAGTTGTTTTCAAATCATTAAGCGAACTGATGATCATGATGATGATGAGTTAAAACAGCCGACAATTAGTTTACTTATGAGGGTAAAAAAAAATAATAGAAATTTCAAACATTTCAACCTGACTGAACTGGCATTAAGAGTTTTTTTTTGTTCAAACATGAAAATGGAAAACCGCAAAAAATTTATAATTTTTTTTTGTATTATAGAAAAAATAAGCGAAATCATTCAGCTGGAACAATGTGAAACTTTCAAAAAAATAAAATTGGAAAAATTCTTTTTCTTCTCCACCATCTTTTTTTATAGCCAATTCTATTTCCAGTAAACTTTTTTTAATTGTAGGAATTAAAATTTGAAGTTTTCACATCTTAATTAACTATTAAAATTTCTCATTTTTATGATAGAGCGAAAAAAAATAAGATTGTTAATTGGACTGAAAAAGTGGAGATAGAAGAGGTGAAAAATAAGTAAATAAAGAGCAATTTACCTTCAATCTATGCCTCGTTTTCTCACAATAACTTTGACTTGAATATTTTATACTTTTTTTTGCTTAAGCTTGATTGGATCTTAATCCTCCTCACACCTTATTTCGATCGCCGTAAAAACTTATTAAATCGTTCTTATTGCTCGAAAAGTTCAATTGTAAGTGGATATTCTCTTGATTTATATTTTTTTTATTGAAGCAAAAGAATGAAAAGCAATTTTCACACCAGATTTATGTATAACTCTTATTTTTTTTTTGCTTGCTTACTTCCAACACACACTCCTTCGTCTACGAATAAAATTCACCTTTCGTTATATTATTTTAATACTTCTTATTTTTCCCTTTGTTTCAAGGTTTCCTTTCTTATTTTTTTTTAAATTTAATTTCTTATTCTTCTTATCGACTTCGGTTTTATTTGCAATGTCTGTTCTTATACCACACAAATAGTTTAAGATGCTTTTTTCAAAAAAAAATTTATTGCACAAATTTTTTTTATTTTAATTTTCAAAATTTTTTCTTGATGAAAAAAATTTAAATTTTCACACAAAAAAATTTATTTAATTTCACAAGCTCTCGGAAAGAGGACCTACACAGCACGACGTTTTCAGCTAGACTGTGGTATTTTTCTCCATCCGAGTACAGAAAAAAAAATTGGATTGTGCTGCTATATTATTACTCTTGTTGTTCGTACTCTTCTTATTACTTCATTTTTTTCATGTGTTTTTTTTCTCTGTTTTTTCAACAATTGGAATATTTTTTTAATGCTTTATATTTTGCCAACAAATAATATGCTGCTTTATTAGGGTTCATTCACTTATGACGTCTTTGATACCTAACCTATCTTTTCGTTTTTTAACCCTTTCGAATGATTAAATTTCAAATTAGAGCTTCAAAAAAATTGAGGCAACCCCCATTTCAATGATAAGCGTCATATGCAAACAACCCCTAAAGCTCTACTAATGCGGGTCGTTGAACGTAAAGAAGGACTTAATCCTTCAAAGGGAATCATCCCGAGTGACAATTATTGCTTTTCTGACCTTAATTGTGATTTATTAACTTGAGAATTAAATTTTTTTTTTGAAGAAAAATAATTATTTGGACATTTAAAGTTATAGACATACATAGCAGAATATGACGTAGTATTGAATTGGCTGTTCATAAATGACGATCATTAATAAACGAGATTTTTACTCACAAAATTTGTTTGAAAAACAATTTCTTTTGTTTGAACCGTCACAAAACTTCAGAATCTATTATTGGAACTGTTATTTATGAACGATTCTTAAAACGCTTGATGATAAGCTACTTCGATTTATCAGCAAGCACTGAGTGTATTTATAGCAAAGCAATAAAATAGGTGACTGCAAAGTCCTTCCATTAATTGCAAAACAATCGCACGATCACGCTCAATTACTTCATAAACGCGCGATAATCCACAACTGTATCACTCGGGAGCTTGACAATTTAAAATGCATATTTTCCATTTCAAAAACAACAATATAAGCGATTATATAGCAAAAATCCCCTGATGCAAGAATCTCCAGGTTATGATAAAAATCGATAATAATGAAGATGACAATGTGAAAAATAAGAGCAGGTCTACAATTACTTTAAGAGAATAATGGAGGAAAAATCTTTTATATTATATTATTGCCGGTGCATTTATCATCGGTGCAAGCGACGACGACTAGTTTTAATACATAGTATCACAGCGCATGCAAGAACGAGACAAAATATGAGAACAGCAAAGAAGAAAACGAAAAAAAAGCCGGCTGAACGTTAAAGTCTCTATATATCGTGTGTAACTGTGTTGCTTATTGTTTTTGTTGTTTTATTTCTTATGAGTCATCGGCCACGAACGAGCATTCGTTTGCGTGTACATATATATACACAATTACTTGTTAGTTTTTCATTTTATTTTATATATACACCAAAAATAGGGAAAATATAGCAACGGAAACATTTTTATGACTAACTGAAAAAGGAAATTTATGTTGAGTGTAAGGATATGTCACGTACTTAAAGGACAAAACTCAATTGCATTAGTTAATTTGTCATTTGGGGTAGTTAAAGTTAAAACACGATCAAAGGTATGCAGCACAGCACTTGATAAGTCACTCAATTGTAATGAAATCACTTCTTAAACGAGAAACATGAATAATTAGAATTTTCAGAACGATTGAGGCACAAACAACAACCGTACAAAAGTGTGGCTTTTCATCATAACGTTTTAAATTGAGAAAAAAATCACCTGCCCATGAAAAAAAAAATTATGAATACCATTCGTCGCCGCTTAATCATTAACGTTTATGATTGTGTTACACTCATTTTAATGCAATTTCGTATCGAATCATTGAGCAGTGCAATTGCAAACTTGTATTAATTGGTCTAATTTTACAGTTTGATTCGCCTTTCCATTTATTTTTTTCGTTGATTTTGAGATTAGAATAATAATAAATTTTAATTATAATTAAATGCACTGTGTTGAACAGCGTTTCATGCTTCTCGAGACTGTTTCTCTTTTTAAATTAATTGTTTGTTCAATAATAAAGGAACGATTGGAGCTAATTTTTAACGAGTTTTAATTTTGAGTACGTGATTAGAACTCCAAAAGCTACATAGAGTAGAGCAGAGATGGAGGGATGTTAGAATAATCAGCAGACAGAGAGTTGTTATAAAATATATAACAGAGTTTGGTATAAACAAAGTTGCAGTCAAAAGAACTGTCAATTTGAGGATGTGACTTTGATGTGTCTCTGACAAAGCTAGTGATGTTCATGATTATGGCAGATTAAAGACAAAGTAAAGGTGCACAAACAATGGCACAATTCAAGGTGATTCCACTCTCGTTCGAAAAGTTTACAGTCATCCACCTGATGCACATCAAAGTCAACATTCGAGAATTCAAAAAGCTCACGAGACATCCCCACAAAGAATCTCTGTTCATTATCGCATTGAAGATGCAAATTTCTACATTAATCCCTAACTTTATTCCATGTAATGACAAGTTGTTTTTAATTAAGCTTTGACATCAGCGGTTTGTATGAATTAGATATTACATACATCGGATTACATAGATTAATTTACATTTGCTGCAAATCATGCTGTTACAAAGTAAAATAAAGTTGACTGAACTCAATCGAACCCGCTCAGCTGACCGAAAATAAGAGCTAGTCATCCAGTTATGTTTTTCGTTCAAGGTAACGCAATGAAGCCAACAGTTTGGGTAAAAAATGCACGATAAAAAATACTTTTCTAATTTTTCGTGTACGAAAAGAAAAAGGTTTGCTTTTTTTTCGCAATATTGAGCAATAAAAATCATGATCAAAACTTTCCAATTGATTCGGTATTGTGCAATAAACTTTTTATGAATCGTTCGATTTTTCAATTTGAGCATTGAACCATCAAGAAAATCAATTTTTTAAAGATTAATTAAAAGTTTAAACGAGAATAAAATGAAGACGTACAGCAGTAATTAAAAATAAGGCACTTACTTGGATTTTCCTTGAGACGCTTATAAACAGTCAGTGCAATGTCATCTTCAGTTAAAGAATCCCATAAACCGTCGCATCCCATAACAAAGAAATCTTCTTCGCCGTCCAAGTCAAGGACAGCAATTTCTGGCTCAGCACTTACGAACGGTTTATGCATAGCATCACCAATTGCTCTTGAGACAGCCAGTGAGCCATTAACACGATATGAATTGCTCCAATAAAGAACAACACCACCCAAATCCTCAATTCGTTTTCTTTCTTGTGCATCTTCTGGTGAATGCTTTCGAACGATCTGATGAACATTGCCTAATCGAGCAATTAAGGCTTGCGAATCGCCACACCATCCAATGTAAAGTTTTTTTTGTATTTTCCTATAAATTGCACACAATGCGGTCGTACCAGAATTTAAATTCTCGGCATTAGCCTTTTTAAGAAACTCTATATCGGTGACTAAAAAAGCAGCGCTCATTGCTTTTTTAATGTCTGATGGATAGCTTGGATGAACAGAAATATTATAGTTTAAATGTGAATTTGCATAAGTCGCGGCATCACTGCCTGAATGTCCGTCAAAAATTCCATAGTAAAATGTGGGTTCAGTATCCTAAAAAGAGTAAATTTTAGATAATGACATTGAGCTGAATTAGTCATAAAACTAAGCCATTACCTGAGTGTTAAAATATCCATTAAAATCGTCAATAATAACATGCTTATCCTCCATTGTTCTGCGTGTATTTTTAATTGCATCAACAGATATTTTTGGGGGTTGCTTTAATTTCGTTAATTCAGAGGCATTTGGGGATGTGGGCGGCAAAGGAACTTCATATAGCTTAGCATTATCTTGTAAATCAAATATAAGACTATTAACTACGGCAACAACAACTCTAACGAGTTTAAGGGGCTGATATATGTCTCTTTTACTATCATATCCACAATCTTCGGGTGCATCTTGAACTTTCTCAAGGATTTTCTTCAAGGCTGTCTGTATCAAATATATTCGTAATGTAGTTGGACAAGATCTTCTACAAAATTAAAAGAATAAGAATTATTGACGCCGATATTTGTAGAATTATGAGAAAAAATAGCACATAAACATTATAATTTAATTAGAATTTATGATTGATGGCTGTAATAGTCTCGTTTTTATCGTTTTATGAGTTTACGGTGATAATTGAGAAGGTTTGGTGTTTGTAAGCACATGAGCCGCACTCATAACAAATATTTTCTTCTTTCCTTATCACTTGTCGTGTGTTATTTTTGTGACTCTGGAAGATAAAAAGCTGTTTTGTTCTGTTGCTATAATTTTTTCTAAGCTCACGATATGAATCATTAAATTAAAATTATATGGAACTGAGTAACAATTTGAAACATGACTAATGCGCATATTAATTTACACTTGACATATTCGGTAGATTTACATGAGTAACAATCCAGAACATCCAAAATGCTTCTAATCCTAAAGCATGTTTTATAGTCATAATGCTAAAAAGGTCACACCGCATTGCATCATACGGTAAAAGTAATATTACAATGAAAATTTTCATGATGAATGTTTAACAAATGGATATAATCATCATCGCCACATCGGAAATAAAATAATATACTGACTGAGTGATGATCTCAAAGTTTTTTTAACAATATTTGATCATCATTTTCTTGCAATCACACACACGCCCTTACCATAAAACACGTAGAATAAAATAATGATGTATAACGATATCGGAATCATGGAGAACATTCGATTCTAAATTAGATGAGATGAGAATAGAGTAAGCAGCATAGAAAATAGTGTTGAAGCAGTTATGTTGTAAAATAACAATTGCATTCACTATATTTCTCTTTTGTTATGCTGATTTTTTTTTATTCCTATGTACATCCAATACAATAAAGAAGTAATTTCGGTCGGGAGGAAATAAACTCTTCGTGCGGTTATTTTAAACGATTAATTAAATATAATTAAACTCTTCTCTATATTAAATCATGAATGGGCAGAAAAAAAGCTTGGCTTGAAAGTTAGAAAAAGTACTAACACATAAGGCAAGCGCTCATTGAACTGTTAATGTTAATTTGCTGCTGTTTTGTGCCATTTTTTTCATAGTTTATAGCTTTTTGGACATGAATATTTACCCTAAATAGATCAACAGCCATTCGATAATTTCTCCATGTATCTCATAATCCCGAAGACAATAACCGGAGACTCGCAGAGGCAATTGATCATGCTACAATAAATAAAAAGAAGAATTGTTGATACTATTTGTTGGATATAACAGTTTAGTTCTTGTACTTACGGGATCAATTGTTTTTGCAAATTCCTCTATATATTCACGATATTCTCCATACTCAGCATCCAGATTCATTTTGATAAGTTTAAACGTTATACAAACAAATAATACTGATAAAATAATTAATCAACTTTCATTAACAATTTTATAACTTCCAGAATTTTATTTTATTTTTTTGCTAGTTGCGATCAAGTTTATTCACTAAATGTTATTTTTTCTTATCTTAACTACGAAATGTCTTTATCACTTAACAATTTACGGCTAGTACACGATAAATTCTCGAGGTTTAACTATACTATAGTAAAAAATTCAATCGTTTCGTTGAGTAATTTAATTAAATTTACAATACAAGTTCACTTCAATATAAAAAATTTGCTCGATTTGAATTTTGTTTTCTTAGCTTGCTATTATGAGGAGATGATGCTATTATCCGTACTTTTTCAGTCTGTCAGTAAGTTCCTTCTTCTAGTTTTAAGCAGTTTTAAGTTTGTCTGGCACAATAACAATTGATGTTTAAAAATATTAAAGTAACGGAAATTTAAAATTTGAAATAATAACGGAACTTTGAAATTCAAATAGTAAGTTCAAAATTTGAACTTTGTAAGTTTTGGCGCGAAAACAGCTTTCAAATAGTTTCAGACCGTTATATTCAAATATTTTGTAACCGTTCACTTATTACGTTACGCAAAACACGACTTTTTTCACCCCCTCCCCCCTTGTTACAATATGTTACAACTCAACCCCCCCCCCCTGAACGTTCATAATTTATTTTATCATTAAAAAGGTGGAAAATTTAAAAAAAATGTTTTTGGTGTGAATTTGTAAACAAATTTTTTTCGTGAACGTTTTTTTAAAAGACAGGCGACAGTTAAAACGTTTCATACTTCTTGACAACCCCCCCCCATGTTACATTTTGTTACAATTTTTCAAACCCCCCTCCCCCCTAAAATGCGAATGTAATAAATGAACCTTAATGATATTTGCGCTATTGTCAATCAAGTATAAAAGTTTTCTAGGGTGAATTCTTTCATTCTAAACAGCATCATCAATCCTACAACAGCCGCATTCACATTATTATTTGTTTGGCTTTCTAGTTGTTTTGTTTATTTTTTTGTCACAAATCAATTTTAACTAATTGAAGCTCTTTTAACACCAGAACTTAATAAAATTTAATGAAATCTCAAAGAATACAGGCTGAGTTCATCAGAAAACGTGAGATTGAGCAACGTAGAGTTCAAGAAACTCAAAGTAAGTGAAAAACATGAAAATTTTGTTTATGGGAAATTTTGAACCTTTTTACTATTGTCTATTTACAGATGTTCGACAATATTATGACAAAATGGGAAGGATTACTTCATTGCATCAGCATTGGAGCTCACCTGAATTCTATGAAGAGGTAGAAGAAAAGAGAAAGGCTGAAAAACTAGTTGAAGAGAAACGTAAGGAATTAGAGGCACGGAAGGAACGATTTCGTGCACAGCTTGCTGAAGAAAAGAGACAATTTGAGCTGGAACTAAAAGGTATGTCATAAATTATAAATAAAAAGCATCTAAATCATCCAGTAAATTGTTGTAGAACAAAAGAAACCAAGATCCAGGCAGACACCAAATAGTGTACTAGAATCTGTACGACGAACTCTTGCAAATGCTGAAGAATGCAAGGCAAGAGCCGATCTGGAATCAAAATTATACTCACGATGGAGACTTGGACTGGATCATGAAAAGATATTAAAGGATTCAAAGAATACTCATCAAGCTATGGCTAAACTGAGCTGGATTGATCGTCAAATTGAAAATCAGATGTTAAATGAACAGCAAAAGCAAGAAAGTCATAAGCTAGAACTAGAATTAGAGCATGAGAAGAGAAAGCATGAAGCATATCTTCAAAATTGCCAGCAAATGAGAGATTCTGAAATTAATAAAATTAAGGAAATTCATGGGAATGGAATTGTGGAACTAAAATTAAGAGAACAAGAATTGCATGAATCTAAGCTGAAAGAAAGCATATTAAGAAAGAAACTTGGAGAAGTCATTAAGGAAAAGGAAACAATTTCAACAACAAATGTCAAGCGACGTGACCGAGTAGCAGCACTGCACAATTTCCGTAAAATTAAAATGCTAATGAGAGAACGCTCTGAAGCAGTTAAAAGGGATTTAATGCACGACATCAGCTTACTCGATCGCATAAGTTTTGACCGTGACTTTGACAATGACGAAGAAATCAAATATTTAAGGCTAAAGTTTCAAGGACAACTTGATAATGAGTCTGAAAATGTTAAGAGCATCGAATGCATGTACGAATCAGAAGCAAAGGAAGCTTTAAGAAAAACAGAAGATAAATGGGACGAGGAAGCTTTACTGCGTGAACAGCAATTAAAAGTTTTAATGGATGATCGAATTCAGACATTAAATGATAGAATTAATGAATGCATTCGGATGCAAAATGATTTGACGAGTATTCGTGAGACTCACTTAAAGTCGATTGAAGATTGCAATCTTAGATTAAAGGAATTGATGAGTGAGTCGCTAACAAGCGGATTGAATGACATGGCACGAAAAACTATTATCCAAACAGATCCAATACTGAAAAATGACAATCATTTAAATGGAATCGTCCGTAAGACTGATAATCTAATGATTAATGGACATCACTATGAGTTGACAGTTCCAAAGTATGGGAGAAAAAAAGTCAATTGGAACTAAGACGCAATGATCTTATAAGAATATTTTAGATTTTTTTATACTGCCTACCAGAGCTGGATCGACTTTCGAGCTCTGCTGCCTTTACCTTATTTAGACTAGACGCAAATGTGTTATTTTTGTATGCAAATATTTTTTTTCCTTCAATAAAAGACATGCTGTACGTCATAAAATTTCAATCTTTATTCATTTTGACTTGTTTCCAGCTATTAGCTACTAAGTTCTAATGCCGAAAAAAAAATGAGAGAAAATATCACAATCACAATATCGATAAAATTTCTAAATTGATTCAATTTTGCATGGGGAGGGGGGGTTTATTCCCTTAAAAAATGGTATGCGAATGTATAAACGACATTGATAAATTTTTAAAAATTTTCGTTAAAAATTCGACTTTTTTTTGTTGATAAAAATCACTGTTAAGTTTCCACATCGAAAAAGACATTATGACGAATTTTACAATTACGGCGATAATGACGATAAATAGTTAAATGATGCTATTATTATTATTTTATTGATTTTAACTTGAATTCGGACGTTGTTGCTCGGACCTGTAAATGAGAGAATATGGAATTAATTTACTATTTGTTGCTATGGATATGATTATTATTTGTTCAAGGGTTTATAGCTTCATTGTTGTGTTTTAGGGATTAATAAACAATTCATGAGCGATAAAAAGGTTTTAATTGAAATCGGCAGTTCAAATGCGAGAATTAAAGGCAGTCACGCTCTAAGCTTAATGTAGACATGAATGTTTGGTTGCTAATATTTATTGGCTGATCTAAAGATCTTGGCTGAGTCTAGATTTGTTATTTACTAGTATGTATTCCCTAATCAAGGTTTATCTCCTAAACATCGCACTTCAAATGACGTGCCATTCGCAAATGTTGTGCATTATTTTTTTCCGCCCAGCAAATGATTCAGTCAACAGTATAAACACTTGAACAAATATGAAAATATCGACTGCAAATGAAAAGCAACAATAATTAAATTTAATTACGTACTTATTCTTCTTCTTGCTATTTGATGTCTTGTTGTCATCTTCTGAGCGTGAATTTGTCATCGAGCCAATATCAAAGCTCATGTTAGATAACGCCTATGAACAATAAGCGATAAGAATATTAATTGGTAATAATTGACATAATTAATTATCAGGTAAAAAATAAGGAATTAGGTAATTATAGCAATAAATCAAGCATGAAATAAAAACAGAAAAAAAATAATAACCTGAAGAAAATCATCACTCGAATCGGATGGAAATGCACTTGACTGTGCTACATTTCCATTATTTAAATTTTCAAGTGCCTTTTGTCTACATAAAGAATTTCTTAGTGACGACAACGACAATCTCTTCTTTATCAAGTCATCATCGCTGTCAATTGCTGTTGATGTGCTTGGTGCATTTTGTGACTTTAATCCAAATGTTTTTTTCGTACGATTCTTAGAATCGGTAGTCGTTGATAAGCGCTTTGTACTACTTGTTGATGGACCTGATGCAGGAAAGAATATATTTCCACCCGACATATTTGACCAGATTTCGTCATCATAAAATGAATTTCTTGGTGGGGGTACATAAAGCGATGATGATGATGTTGACCAAGCCATTGTTGGTTTACTCGCTTCTGGCTGCTTTTCCCATACTTGAATTGATTGATCACTGCAGTCTGATGATACTGTCTTTTGCCATATATCATCCGTATATTTCTTCATATTGTCAAAATCATGTGGAAATGGAAATGATACATCAATGTTATCAGCATCAATGCTGTTCTCATTTAATGAGAATCTCTTGTGCCTTATCGTTCTAGGATTTCGTTTATAAACATTCTGTATCGACGTTGATGGCATTTGATAACTTTTTTCATCACTATTAAGCAACTTAACATTGTGAATCAAATCATTTAAATGCTTCTATATAAATCATAGACATAGAAATGAAAATAATAAGTTCACATGCACAAAAATTAAATCAAAAGGTTTGGGGATCATAAACAATTATGTCACGAACCCCAAGCATAATTAAAATAATAATAATAAGGAAGTAACTCACTAATCTCTGGCTACTCACTTGAGTCTTCCAAACGGGACTAGCACAAGTGTTACTTTCATGAATTGGCGTTGGCAGTGAATGACCAGATGAACTCTCTGGATGCAAATCCGATGACAAATTATTACTAATACTATTTTTGCTAATGTTACTAGTTAGAGCACCAATAATTGTTGATGATGGTACAGTCTCAATACTATCTAAGACACTTGTAATTGGTCGTAGGGCAGTTGCGGATGAGTTTGATGAGTGTGATGAGGTGCTTTCGCAATTTGATGATGCTTCAAAAAGATTCATTATCATTAAATCTGATTCGGATGTTTCGACGTTGTCTAATTGATTTTGTGCCTTTTGCACAGTTGCTGGAAATATCATACGCTGTGTCAATTCAGCATATTCGACATCATTTTCACCGGCTAAATTAAGAGATTCTTCATTATGTTCGTTATCGTCAATAGAACTGACATCATCTAATAAGTTTTGAATTTTAACAATTCGATTCGTTATGCCACAGGCATTATCTAATCCATCAGAATCAGAACTAGAGCTGAAACTTGTATTTGTAGCGAGATTTGGAGATGAGAAGGATATGGCCAATGAAGTCGTTGTCTTTGTTTCATTTGACATTGTTGCACTTGAACTTTGCTTTGCTTTCTCTAAAGACTTATCTTTTGACTTGTCATGACTTGATTTCTGTGCTTGTTGCTGAGATAATTCACATTTTCGTGCTGATTCGTTGCTATGATTCTCATGAATACCCGAACGATTTCTATTTCGACTCGCATCACTGCTCAACTTTTTCAAGTCATCAGTTATGCTAAACGATGTTGCATCATTGAAAATAGCTTGTTGTTGCTGCACAAACAATAAATCGTCAACATGAGAATCTGGTATTAACTTATATTTCGTCAATTTTCCCATTCCATCGCTTGTCGTCGCTGTCGCTGATTGAGCGAGTGTCAAACTTTTCATTTGTTCACGTTCAAGACGATCTTTGAGTTCGCGAATTTGTGAGAGATTCTGGGATTGTTGTCGCAACAATTGATTAATATACCATTGCTGATCTCGACATTTTTGAAAGAATGTACTTGCGCGTACTTTAAATCTCAATTCAAGAGTATCTTTTGATGTGTTTAAATAACCTTCTTCGGCTAATAGATCTAATCGGAAGAAGCGATTGTAGCCCCAGCATTCACCGACTTTAGGAAGTAAAAGAAATTGAAATTAGTTGGATTGTTTATCAATTATAGCTTCATAAGTTATTTATGAAAAACCATCAAAATTTCAGTTTGTTTTCTTAAAAAGCTTGTATTCTTAATGACATAAGCAACAGACGCGACTTGACCACCGTTACTTATGTCTGTCACCTCATTTTCCGTAGTTTTAATACTTAAATCAGATTATTTTTTCATGCACAGAGACTCCAAAGAAAGTTAATTAACACATTTAAAAATATGAAGCTTTTAATGACTCTATAATTAATTTATAAGCCCATTAGACTCATGCAAAATCGCCACAATATTTATGTCAACGATCCGCAATCTCTGAAACTCATAAATTAAGTCATTCTTGAATCAATAAAGAACAAAAAAAAAATCATCACGAATAAAAATAGCAATTGACTTCAAGTCTTATCAGTATTGTTATGGCTGTGGCATCAAGTCACAACTTTTTAATAAACTTTTATTAACATCTGAATAAATATTTGGATCTTTGGATGTCTCATCAAGTCGTTTAAAAACATTTAGAGGTCTATTAACGAGAATGGCTAAGTTGATGCTTGGAGCGATTATTTTTATTTATTGTAATTAATTAATTTGATGATGTGTGGATTGTCAGTGAGTTTTGACCATTAAGATCTAGAATTTTTAAACTCTTTTTCTCACAATCAACCTTTCTATGTGTTGAAAGTCATCAATAAATTAACACAAACATTTAAAAAACAAATTTTTAATCAACGTGTCAAAAGTCGTGTGCAGTACACAGCTCGAGTAAGTCATCGACAATCTTTTACATATGTATTACCAAAAAAGAACAAAACCGTGTGCTTTACACGACTTTAGCTCATCAATGATTAATAATTACAATTTCCACTGTTCTACTCAAAAAATCATGCCTTTCAGATCATTTCCTCATCGACAAGATTAAAACAAACATATTTACAGTACAGCCAGTAACAATAGCAAATCACACATACCTTCGAAATCGCTTACAAATTCCCGTTGAATAATCTTCGTTGAGTTCTGATGTATCATTTGGACACGATATTCATATTTTGATATTTCAGGAAAGCCTGAAGACAATTCGAGGAAAACGCTAAGATATTCTTTACGAACACTTCCATTCCCATTTGGATATACTTTTAATCTCCAACATAATCCGTTAACATGTAGAGGAGTTGAATATATTGCGTCGCCTTTTTGTTGAAGCTTCGTAAAATTCTTAATCAAGAAAGTTCCTGTATCATAATTTGGTACAATCTCACTCACAAAATCAGCAGGAATCGGTGTGCATGAGAAACTCGACATTGGTTTCGAGCGTACTTGATTTATCATTTTTAATAAATCTGGCGACTTGCTTATTAATTGTGATCGCGAGCATGAATTCAATTGATGCTCAATTTCTTGTAATAAATGTTCTAATTGTTCAGTCTCTAATGTCAAAGCATTTTTCTGTCGCATTAAACTTATTAATTTGACTTTTAACTGTGCATCGAGTCGACTAACCATTAATTCCACAGCATTACGTATTTCACGAACCTTTTCATCTTTAGCACTTCTCACGACTTCAACATTCTGCTCGACATCCGATACAAAACCGACGAGTTCGACAAGTCGTGAGCGTAACTGACTAACCTCCTCCTTTACTTGCGATAAATGCGTCTCATAGACAAGTTCCAATTGTTTAAACGTATGATTCGTATGTGTTCCGCCAAACAGAGCACATTTATGGCATATACATGTTTTACATGTCCAACAATAGACTGATAATTTCTCTTCATTATGTGTTGGACATAAATCCTTATCATTTAAATTTGTCAAATGTGACGTTTTATTTGCCATTATTTGTAAGCTTTCAACTTGATTTGCGACTTCTTCAAACCAACGGCAATTGACTAATTCGTGTACGTGAAGTGGAGCTCTACAGTGTGGACATTGCTTTCGTTGCTCAACTAACCATCGACTTATGCATACGTAGCAGCACAATTTACTACAAAATGGACATAAATGTGCATCCTGAAGCTTTTCCATGCAAATAAAGCACCGAAATACATCAATTAATGTCTGGAAAGAGAACAAGGGTAGAAAATAAAATTGGATTAAAATTATTTTATGCATCAAAATTTAATTAACAAGCAAATTTGTGGAAAATATGCAAATGAGATTATTATTTTGATAGATTAAATCAGATTTATGATGAACTGACACGAAGCTCATGAATTATTATGTTTATTTAATTTATACGGAATTAGCATTTTTGTCTGGAAAATCATGTCATAGATGAGAGCCTATAGATAAGTTTTGAGAATATTTCAACGGATATTTTATATTCTAATAAGTTGATTTTCCCCTTGTATAGTTGTTAATCCCCTTGATAGAAATATCCAGTAAATTTCGGATCCTTGGGAATTCACATCCTTGTTATAGGAATCCTTAGGTAAACTTATAAGTAAATAAGCATTGTGATTATTACCTCAACAAAAAAGAAACTGTTGAAAGTAATTTTTGACTCCCTCAAAACCTTTCTTATCCCCCACGAAATATTAAGCATCAGTTATTAATGATTCCTAACTATGTTTGCATACCAACTATCATTTTTTCAAAGACTTCAAATCCACAAGACTAATAGCATCCTAACCAAACAAAGAAGATAAATAAGCACCAGCATAATAAACAATTTGTTATGCACAGCGGTTGCCAAAGACATAAAACTTCTCTCATTATAACCCCCAACACCTCTTTAAAGCTTCAACAAAGAATCACTATGCTGTAAGCTTAATTTGATTTCCCAGAAGACATTATCATAAATTTCCACATATTTATCATATAATCCAGACAAAATATTTAAATGAATGCTCCTCAAAAAAAAGTTCATTAAACTGCGGTTTTCCTTACTATTGATTCAGTCTTTTGTCTTTGATTGAGTAAATGAACCGATTAAGCGTGCTTGTGTCATGAACCTTAATAGAATTTGACATAGAAGAATCAGTCATTGGCACCCAAATTGTTTATAACAAGCTAGTTTTGTAATGCGGCATTGAACTTTGCCACCGTGACGAAGTAGAAAAAAAATATCTTTAATCATGCAGCATATAGGCAAGCATATTGATTTATTAAAAGTCGCGGAAGTAATGGACAATAACGGAATTTATGTGTGTATAGCTTGATAGTCATCAAAATAATTAAATTTAATCGAATATCGTCAAAAATTAATGAAATATCTTCGTCTTCATCAAGCTACGATGAACAGAACAGACAGAATTAATTCAACAAAATACCATGAAGTGAAACTATAATTATTCTCGTGTTGTACATTGCTGTTATTTTTTTGGCACATAAAGACTCGCTTTTTTTTTAAATAAAAATATCACAAGGTGCTTACTTTACATGATGTTCTTTGTGTATACAATTAACCGTTAAATCTTCACTTCCGCTGTGATTTGAAATTTGCGATAAAAGAAGTTCTTTTTGGTAAACGTTTATGACCCAAATTAATAGAATCACTTCTTAGGTTCTGAAATGTGAGATCCCATCATTTATGACATGCTTGATGTTGCTTCTATTACTACGTTATAACGCCCCTACACCTCTATTTCTTCAATTATTTCAACTGTCAATAGACATAGACAACAAGTCCTGCTGTCACAACTTCTTTTTCTCTTTATTAATTGGGAGTTGTTTACAAATGACGTCTCCTTAATATTGCTTTTTGGTTCCATCAAATCTTCACCTTCCTCAATAATTAAATAACATTGCCAATAGATCTAACGCTCCTCAAAGTCTTGTTCTTAACTGATTTTCTAGACCAAGACTTTTCAGAAACCTCGAGAATGCTTAAAACAACATCAAGAACCCTTCATCCTATAATATAGACATCAATTCATAATTAACCCCTCAAAACTCAATTCAAACATGTCATATTCAATAATTGTATGCGAAATAAACTAGAACGCGCCCAGAACTCAAATCTGAGGAATCAATTTAATTTGAAACTAGAATGATTTCACTCCGTTATGCATGATCGATGAAAAGTATTGATGATTATGATTATTAAGAGCTTTAGGAAATGAGTGTAATGAATTTAAAAAGGTATTCGAGTGTATCATTTTCATGTGTTTAACCTTCGAATAAGATTTTTTTTTTTCTGGGTTGATTAACATAAGTAAATTGACGTTTTGTTGGTACAAGATGACAATGAAGTAACTAGAGTTGCTAATTGATAGTGGAATTTAATGATAAAGAGATTGTGTTTGACAAAAGTAATACAAATCATCTTCTAGATCAATTACAAAGGAGTGTAGGATAAACAACAATTTTAAAGTATGAGGTTTTGTCCAACGAAGGTACAGAATTTCAATATTCATTACTTAGAAAGGAAGAAATATTTTTAAGGCAAGAACCCTTGAACCCTATTTATCTGGTAACTCTTATATTCTCTATAGAGTACCTAGATCATGGTTATGGTATGCACAATTAAGGTATATACAAGAAATAGAGCTTTAGATACCCATGCTATCCCACAATCCGAATAGAACAGACAAATGAGTCAGCAAGACACTCTAATCTGCAATTACAATCACCATCATTAATGAACGTCCCCAAAGAATTCGCCAATCCAAGAATCACATGTCATTTAAATCTTCAGTTTTGTCCCCTGTACTATTTTTCCACATCCACAAACAGATTCCAATTCAAAATTATACACATAATAAAAAAGTTGAATTCCAAAGAGAAAATGATATATGTGCCGGCAAATATATGCTTTATTATTACTATCACCAAAGTGAAATAGCAACAACAAAGAACATATTGAGTATTACAGCAACAGACAGTGTGTGAGCGACAAAAGGCAAAACAATCAATTGTGAAAAACTTGATTTTTTTCTCTCTCTTTCTCGTTTGCATCATCGTGGATTTCTACAGCCTGTTAAGCAACAATTATTTATTCTTTTAATATTTATTAGCTGACTAATGTTGAAAGATTAGTAATATGAAGATAATAATGGAACGACTATCCTTTTAGGGACAAAAACGACTTTCAATATTAGTTTGAAATATTCTTTATAATAAATTTTTGTTCCTTTAAGTTTTCAATGTGATTTTATGTGAATAATGATGAGGAAGATGGATTCTGATTGAGTCTGACTGTCTGATAATTGTCTAGACAAAATGTCGAGTTGATAACTTTTTAATCAATATTTGAAGAATAGCTAAAATCTGTTTTAGTCTGGTTTGATGATTCCAACAGTTCTGACCACATTCATGATGTCACAGCTTGACAACCAATGAGCTAGCTCACATCCTTAGCAAATAGACTAGAGCAAGGGACTCAATATTTAAGAACTCTTGCTTGACTGAACACATGGAACTAAGAACAATTAATTCAATAGAACCCAACAAATTCTGCTTTACAGTTCCCAACCTGACTAATCTGAATCAACAGCACAACAAATTCACTAACCATTTAAAAGCAAAATCAACACCATCTTAAAAATGTCAAAAGTCAGTCAAAACTATTATTATCCGTCTAAAATTCACCGATCAATCACTCATACACCATACTGCGCTTCCTCAATTTGTATGATTTACTTGCCACATTTCGTACGGTTCTGAGCAATTTTTCGTGATCAGAATTGAAAATGACTACATATGTCGGAAAGTGGTGATGTGATGCTTTGAAAGGATGAAATATTCTTATAACATGATCAAAATCGTAATGACTCGATCGTCATCATCATAAACAAAGAATGAGAAGAAGATGAGAAGAGACCGCGAAAAAAAATGTACGAATGAATGAGAAGAAATAAAATACAGATTTTTCTCGTGTTCAGCCGTGTCTTGTTATTTCCTTATTAATTAATCACGTTACAAACGCCGGTATTCAAGTCGAATTGTTTGCAACAAACAAAAAAAGAGCTTCACTTGTTCACATTTGTTTGCTTCTTATTACAAAATAATCAATAGATGTGAATATTGGAGCATGTGGTAAAATAAATGGGTGTAAACTTTGATTTGTGACTGTGTTCTGTTTGCACGACTTAGTGTTCTATATTCTTGACTTGACGTTATCCGTGCTGTATAATCTATAAAGTTTTATATTAGGGTGGGCTTGTCAATCTATTCTCCGACCCTTAGACTATTAATAACTGACCTGTATTGTTGTTTATTGATTATGCCATCGTAGCCATTGACTAATATACTTCGAAGTGTGCACAACTTGCTAAGCTTAAGCACATTAAAGCACCTAATATTTCAGATCATGTATGTTTACACAAAAAATTATTCTCATTCTTTTTTCGCTCATTAGAATTCGCAGATTCATCTAGGAAGCGTAATAATTCATAATTCGATATTTTCTGCTGTCAATGTAATTATCTTATATCCATTTTTGGCAAGGCGGGTGTATTTACGTGAAAAAAAAGAATAATATTTTTCATAGAATTATTAATAACATGACCACCAGTGTAGTTTGTAATGAATTTCGTTGCTATTAGAGATCAAAATTGAGTGAAGCTATACGGCAATAAATGATAGTCAGACTGCTTAATGTTCATTATGGAATATATTCACGTAAAAAAATTATTCCGGTTCAATTGTTCTTAATTTTTATTCTCTTGATTAATTGTGGATCGTACGCAGGAGATGTTCATTAATGCCTGATAATTTTGAATTCCTTAACTCTGCTCAAAATTGTTTTTTTGCAAGAATTTATGTCGTTACGCACATTGTCTATCATTTAGTGAAATTTGAACTCAACAAACTCCAAAAAGTTTCTAATTCACGAATCTATCAGAATCTCCTTCATTTGATGTTGGACATCATTAATAAACAACCTCCATTACTAGCTACTTCAAAAACTATCAAACAAAGGATCATTGCATGTCAGTTCTCAAGGATATATATTTTCCATTTTGAGAAGCACCGAGATTGACTAGCGTGATGATAGAAACCAGAAATTGATTCTTTTCATAGAAGTAATAGTCATAGTAATAAAATTCTATTAATGGCTCAATTTGTAATTTAATAAGTTACGATTTATAACTTTATAGAAATATTAATTCAGTTACTTCTACTTTTCTAGCCAATTTATGGAGAAAATGTCACTGCTGTTTTGATTTTGACTGGATGGAACGGATAATAAATTTAGAATCTATTTAACAATAACTTGCTATGTCCGAAAATTGTAATATACCCGTTAGCATTATTTTTTTATCGATTCACTGAGCATTCCACAAGATCAATCATATAGAAAACTGCACTTCTGATCACTCACATCCAATAATCCACTCGCGTAAATTTTATTGCAGTTTAACTGTTGACTTTCTTATTGGAATCTGATTATTGTACAGCGATAGCTTTATCCAAAGGTAGGATGTTAACGAACTATCGTTTTGGGAATGTTGAGGCTTTGCCCTCGACTACGTTCTGTCAAAAAACGCACACAGAACATCAGAAACGGAATTACGATGTGAGTGCAAAACACTTGAAAATGCTTGAGAATTGAGAGTAGAATAAAAACTAGGGAGGAAAAGAAAATTCGGTTGATTGACCTGAATGCAATTTTATTTCGTGTATGCAGCCACAGTATCATTCATCTCGTGATATGTTGCCATCAGCCAAAAGAATGTGTGAATTCTTATTATTATAGAAGTTACAGAAATAGATTATTTTTTGCAAAAAATTGCAATAGAGCAGAATGCAGCAACAGCAAGCAAGATAGCATGTTTAGAATGTTAAATGAAATTCAAGGAAAATATGTGGGTCAAAGATACATAAAGGAGGAGAAAAGAAGTAACAAAGAGAAAGAATCTTGCAATTGAAAGAAGTCACGATGAGAATAAAATCAATGGCATGAATGATGCACATATTTAAATTGTGAGAGAGAATAAACTTCCGGAAGTCTTATTCGAGTGCTAAATAAAGAAATGACATTGAAAATATTGCGTTTATAACAACTTACCTCTGGATTATCTTTATCATCAGGACAAGAACTGCTGCTCGTATTTCCCATTGATGTTTTTCCACTCCGTTTCTGATGAGCCATCTTTTGAATTATTTTAACTTCACTTTGTTTGCTTTTATTTTGACTTTTTTTTTCGTTCAATAGAAAAAGAACTTTTGTTTAAATAATTTACATTTTATTACACAAATATAATACAAAACTTTATCAAAACTTCACGACACACAGTTTACTAGCTATTTTCCAAGACAGAACTTCGCTTTTGGAAGTGTATATCTTGAATAACTCGAAAAATATATAAAAGAGTCAGTCTTTAGTTCTATGATATTCTTAGGGATCGTTCATCAATGACGACTATTGAAAATGGGGTGTTTTTAGACCCACTCCCACCTTTATCAGTTGTCTATGGGAGAATCACTCAATGATGGTTCCACAAAACCTCCCCAAAAAGTTTAACATCATTGATGAATCACCCCTTAAATATAACGAGTTTTGAGGATTGCGGGTCGAAAAATGAAATTCAGCTGTAAATTGCCCAGCTTAATTGTATGAGTGTTTGTGACACGAACACAAACGTATATTTTCATCCAAATCGTGCAGAAATTAATCTGCATTTTTCATCAAAATTAAAGGCTAAAACGCCTCTAAAAGTGCTTAATCAAACATCATCAGGCTATTTGAAGCCTCGGCTACAAGAATCAACTATTTTCAGCTTCATTATCGTCGTTTTAATCCAACAAATTGATTGAAAATTTCGAAGACGAAATTTTTCAATTTTTTCATATAAAGAATCAAACATGGCTTTCTAAAACAATGTCTCAATTAAATATTATAAACTATCAACATTGTGAGCTTGTCTCCGTCGGAGAAGCAGATATAACATCGTCTTTATTTACTTATTATTTTAAGTTTAATATTATCAATTTTATCAATGGAAAAGAAACGGAATCAAAATGCCCGAAGTGGGCCAATGACATCTGATTTTTGCAGCAAGAAAACGACTCAAGGTATGTACAAAAATAATAGCATCAGCTGATTTTAAATTTCTTGGATGGTTTACAATCCAGCTGGATCTTTTTATTATGAAATTTGACCTTGTAAAAGTTACATAAGAAGTATAAAGTATGTACTTGAGTCAATTTTATGATTAATGATCCAAAAATCGACATCTTTATCAATAGTCTGTGCCCTAATGTACGCATTGAGTCAGCGAAAATTCGCCCAAGTCATACAATGATTGTACTAGATTAATACATTGTCGTAATCTTCTTAAAATATATATTTCACTTCTTATTTACACAGATGTATCAACCAAACAACATTTTCGTCGACGCAAAGAATCATTTCAATCAGAATACAGTAATAACAGCAACAACAACAAACCACAATCGTACAATAATAAAACTCGTAACAATGGTAATAATAATAATGGGAATTTCTACTATGATAAACGTCCGCCACGTAAGAACGGAAGTGTTCAAGATGAAAGAAATGCTAGCGAGACCTCCGGATTGATGCAAGACGATTTCGAACTTAATTCGGTGTTTAATCCTGGAAGCAAGAAGCAAAACTTAAATCACTTGTTAAACTTCCATAAATATACAAAGGAGTCTGAAGATTATCGTGGTGCATTTACGAAGCATGGCTATAGACATCGTGTGGCGTCTAAAAAGTACAATTATCGCAAGGAACAATATTTGCAAGCAAATTGTCAATTTATTGTTAAAGAAGATGTCAAATACGATTATAAGCCATTTAGTAACTCGCCAGATACCTTAGTTGAATGGGATCAAGTTGTCAAAGTCCTTATTTCCAGCTGTGAGGAAATTCAATGTCCAATATGCTTATATTCACCAAAAGCAGCAAAGATGACTAAATGTGGACACATTTATTGCTTTTCATGTATGCTTCACTATCTATCATTATCGGATAAAGAATGGCGCAAGTGTCCAATATGCTACGAAAGTGTCTATTTAAGCGATTTAAAATCAACAACATCAAAGCATAATCATGTTTCATACAAGGTCGGTGACACAATAACTATGGAACTAATGAAGCGCGAAAAGGGATCACTTTTTGTCAATAAAGCTAATGAGATTCGCAACATCATTGAGTTTCCAAGCTTTACAGACATTAAAGATTCATTCACATTTTCAAAGCTGATTTTGGCAAATAAGAATGAGATTTTGAAAGTTATTGAGCAGGAAAAATATGAACTAGACTTCCAAATCGCTGAAGATGGCATCGATTGTCCGGAATCAATATTCGTACATCAAGCACTTGACTTATTGAATGCAAAGCAACAAGAAATTGAAAGAGAATTGGAAAATCAACAACAACAATGTGCAAATTTCCATAATAGCAAGATGCAACAGTCACTTGAAAGTTCAAAATCCTCGCAAAACAATGCAGCGAGCGAGCCAATGTTCGATTTAATGTCTAACGGATCAACAGATGATATAGAATTTTCCAACGAATCGGTCATTGACGAAGATTGCGATTTGACAGTGAACGACATAGATATTGTATCTGAGCCATCGACTGTCCAATCTAAACATTTTTACTATTATCAAGCGCCAAATTCGCAAAATGTCTTCTTACACTCTGTCAACAGTAAAATGCTTCAATTGATGTATGGCAGCTTGCAGGATTGTCCACAAGATATTCGTGGAAAAATCGTTCAGATAGAATGTTGCACTATGAATGAAGATTTAAGGAAGAGATTGAAATATCTACAGCATTTGCCTGTATCATCTGTTTTTGAAGTTGTTGAGATTGAGTTTGATCACGGAATCATTTCCAGAGATGTCAATAATCTTTTTAAAGGTAAGTTCTTATTGATTTTTGTATAGTTCATGAGTGATGATATGCTGGACGTCACTTACGAATCAGACCTAGAAAATGTATTGATCAATTTTCCTTGCTGAAAAATGCGCAATACCATTAATCATTGCCAACAGCTTCCTTATTGCATTTTCAATAATCCATTAATAACAATCCACAGATGAGTTATTCATACGCCGTAAGAAGCGCCAGTTTCGTGAAAAGCAAGAAAAGAAACGTGAAAAGGTCATTAATGAGATCAATGATCGACAAATGGGAAAGATGTTGAAAAGTGCATCGGCAAACATTGATATTTGCTCAACTGCTCAGTTCCCTGAATGTGGTATTTTAAATGATATGCCAGCATTAACATCAAATGCAAATGATCCGCAAATGCCATCGTCATCGAAGAGTCTTCCTTCATTCGCGAATGTAATAACTTTATTTTTTGTCGCATGATAAATGAAATATTTATATTTTTTATGACTTAATATCCACAGATGCTTACATCCCCAACGGTGCGTGATTCTCAAAAACTCTGGCCATCACTTGCATCAGGCAAACCATCAACCTCAAACAACAACAGTCAAAGTAATTCGTTTTTTGGCGATAAAAAGATAATTCATGCTGCTGGAAGTAAGGCAATGGCAGTGACTTCAAATGATACTAAAATGGGCGAGAAGGAAGATGAAGATGATTATGATGATAGTGATGTTGAATGTAAAGCGCCTGTTTATAAGAATAACTTGAGTGATGCATTAGCTAATGCTCTTAAATCAGCAACGATTAATGAAGTGAAGATTCATACTGGAAAGAAGAAGAAGTCAAAGAAAACGCTCATTTTCTCTTCTGGCATGAACTTTAATTAAAATAATTATTCTTTTCTTTTGTGGAATATTTCTAATTGTTTATTGCTTATTTTTTGGAATTCCTTTAGTGCTGTCGGAGGGTAGAGTGAGATGTTTGATTATATCGAGCTATATGAAGGCTATTCTGCCATTTTGAGAGATTAAAGCTTCTGTTTTCAATTAGATAGGCATCAGACTGTTCTGATACCTTTGGTTCGATTTCAACTAGAGCCTGATCTCTCAATCTATTACATATAGTGCTGTCGATATGAACAAGATCCACACAATGCTCACGACTTCACATACCTTTATTATTATTATTTTTTTCACTAACATGTCTTAATGATTTCACTACAAACTATCATAAAAACTGAATAACATCCTTTATGTCTCATAATTCATATTTTTGGTTCGATAATATTTCTCTTAAAAACATCAATAAGTAAAAGTTGTTCAAAATTCAGAAAAAAAGTCTTCTAACATTATTATTATTAATATTATTATTATTGTAATATGAACATCAAGAATATTGGTTAATAAAATAGCATGAAGTAGACGAGAATCAATCTCAATGCCATTTTCATTCCTTCTTTTTATTCTTACATGATTGTGCAATAAACTGGTTCCCGAATTGATGTTTCTGGTGCAGATTCACCCTTCATCTCGCGGTTTTTGAGTTCTAAATAGCTGTTTTCATATCGCTTGGAGATGTATTCTGGCAATGGCTTATTCCAATCTTCTGGCGGTTGCTTCCTCTTCCTCCAAACATCGTTGTCTGTGTGACCTTTCATTCGTTCTGATCGTCTATCATCCTCATTGTCAATTACACGTTTTCCAGCACTGTAATCACCTTTATCCTCAAAATTGATACAATCATTTAAGTCATGTGCCCAACTTGAACAATCCAAAATGTCACCAGTCACGAAATATTGCTGGAATCGTGCCTTTATGCTCTTGCAATCCTTGTATTCTTCTATATATTCATTGAAAAATAGAAAAATGCTTAATTAGTGATTTTAAATTTGTTATTTGCTTTAGCTGATCAATGTTAATGCATAGAACAGAAGCACAGCTTATATGTCACCAAGTGTCAATAGTTGTCATTTAGTGATTTATTGGAAAAATGAAAAATTAATTTTTTTTTTCACTCAATTTTTATAAATTTTTCAACAACGCACTTTTAAAGCTTACCCTTATAGATGTGACATGGACGAATCTTCCATGAATTTGACTTCACTTCACTCTCCAAAATTAGCTCACTGTCTTCCTTCATATTTGGATGTTTCACTAATAAATTTATCAAAATATTTCCTTAAAAAACTTATAATGAATGCTTTGCGGACGGCTGGGCAAAAAAAATCTTGGTGAATGTATTGAACAGCTGAATAACACTAATACAGTCATACTTTATTGCTGTAAAATCAGCACTAGAAAAGATCCAGAAAAGGAGAAAAAAAGTTTATTTTTTATCCTTTATTGTGAGCTTTTGATGGTTTTGGTTGATGCAGTTTTGCTTATTATGGATCATTAGATCATCTAGGACATAGCTGATCATGTTTTAATTAAGAAATTGAGCACAAATTTATAAAAGCTCGTTGAATTCTTAAAAGTTCTCTGAAAGCTCCGTTTTGAATTTTCAAATTTATTTTGACAGTTGAAAAATTTGCATACCATAATTCATATCCAGAGCAAAAAGTGATGAAGTATTCATTAGAATCAATTAAAATTTCTATGAATTATTAATTTTTGAAATTACACTACACATGCACGTCACATGAAAACCACAAAATATTTATTGAAAACTCATTATATGCACATCATTACTAAATAAATAGCTCCCAAAAATATGTTGAATTTCATTAACATAGAGGCACAACTATTTACCACAATAGAATATTATCAACTGAAATGTCAGATACCGAAAAAAAGAGTTTTTTAGGGTCATTGCTCACAAAAAAAAAGAAGATAATAATTGGATTTCAACTAGGCATGCATTATGAAATTTGCATTAATAATATTTTTGACAAATATTAGCATTATATTGGTAGATAGATGCAGCTAGTATAAATAGTAATGTTTTAGAATAGGCGCGTATTAGTCTGAAAATGTGGATATCATTAGTAACAAAACAAGAATTGATTATTTCTGGTGTAGTTTTAATTATCTCGTCGATATTGATAGAAGTTGATAATGCGGTAGTTTATAATGAAAGTTTTATGTCCAATGGACTAGAAAACTCTTTTCATCCAACAATTAATTTCCGTGCTACAAACGATCTAGAACAAAGTTTCTCGTATAATGATGCTGATATTTATGGTAAATCCGAGCATTTTTCTCGTTCCTCAATAATGACGAACATTCTATAGACAAATGAAAAAAGTTTTAATCGACTTCCATTAAATTTTTAAATTTTTAAAGGTCCATCAAAATGGAGCAGCTTAAATCCCGCTTGTGCTGGATATAATCAGAGTCCTATTAATATTGAAACTAACGAAGTGAAAACGGGATCAGCACCGCCAGTGATAGCTAATTATTTTCGAAAAAAAGTTGTGGCTGTAAATGTATGGATGTTGTGTCTATAATATGGGGCCGTTCACTTATTACGTTCGCATTTTAGGGGGGAGGGGGGGGGTTTGAAAATTTGTAACAAAATGTAACATAGGGGGGGGGGGGGGTGTCAAGAAGTATGTAACGTTCCAACTGTCGTCTGTCTTTTAAAAAAAGTTCACGAAAAAAAATTGTTTACAAATTCACACCAAAAACATTTTTTTAAATTTCCACCTTTTTAATGATAAAATAAATTATGAACGTTCAGGGGGGGGGGGGGGGTGTTGTGAGTTGTAACATATTGTAACAAGGGGGAGGGGGTGAAAAAAGTCGTTTTTTTGCGTAACGTAATAAGTGAACGGCCCCTATTGAAAATTTTGAATTTTGAGGTTGTTGACTGGTACAAGAAATGGGATCTTTAGAGCCTTCACTTCTTGCTTGTAATTTAATCTCCGAAAAGATTCTAAATTTGGGACTATTGTATCGATTTCTTATTATAGGTTAGGTAAGATTAAAATCTCGTACTGCCTTAGGAAGATGAGGATTGAAAAAGGTTTGGATCTGGCTTTCATGCTTTTCTGAAGTTATGTTGTTAATAAAATGATTTCCCCAAAATTTTAAAAAATTCTTGTATCCATAAACAAACAATGTCCAAAAATAAAGCAACTAGAAAATTATTTGTATATCGAACGACAAATTACCGAAATCACTTCAAATGACCTTGTACCCAATAATTATAATTTTATGGAAATGATTTTCAAAAAATTTTAACTGATGAATCTCAATCTACCATAAATCTACAGGTGACAAATACGGGTCAATCAGTGATGTTTCAACTGAAATTCTTAGATTCATTAACACCTAATCGACTGTATTGGAATGGACATTTAGGTAAAGTTTACGTCTTCGAGTCATTACATTTTCATTGGGGAAATTACTGGTGAGATTAGCTTTGGTTTTTATAATTTACGAAAGCTTCTTTTTTCCATTATTTATCATTATCCTAGATTTCCTCATTGTCTACATTAATCCCCGGCATTTGTTGTTCCATTTTCAGTGGAGGGGGAAGTGAACATACAATTAATGGTCATCGATATGCAGCGGAAGTTCATTTAGTGCATTTTAATGAAAAATATAGATATTTCTCGGCAGCTGCTTCACAATCGGACGGTATTGCTGTATTGGCTGTATTTTTTGAGCTTGCAGAGGAAGCTAATAATGACGGAAGTAATAACAATAAATTTATTAAATATTTGAATAATGTTCGTCGAAAAGGCGATTCTTTTGTGATAAATGACATCAATGGATTGTTTACTATACATCAGCTGATGAAGCAAGATTTGAATGAGTATTATAGCTATAAAGGTAATGATTAGTTTGTTATAGTTTTTGTTGGGGTCGTTCATAAATGATTTCATAAGGAGTGAATCTTCTGTAAGCTGAATTGAGTTGGTTTTTAAGGATGCATGGTCTACTTCATATCCTAATTGCTAGACGTCATAAGTGAACGACTTCAGTCCACTAATTGATGACTTTTTCGTTAAATTGAAATGAACATCCAATGAAAGTATCAATTAAGTAGCATTTCATTTAACGATCTACCATCCCTAGTAGACAGTCTAATTATCAGGTGATGAAAAATAATTACTTTAATTATTATATATTCAACAGGGTCTTTGACAACAGTTCCATGTTCAGAGGTGATTTCCGCATTAATTTTCACATCACATTCATTCCATTTACTTTGATATCTTCATTTCCCACAGTCAGTAAGATGGATAGTATCAAAGAAAACAGTCAAGATTTATCCGTCAGAAATTGCGGAACTGCAAAAATCACTTAAAGCTGATGGACTGCCACTCCTTGACAATCATCGTCCTCTTCAAAACATAAATGGAAGAAATATCTACGAATATAATTATGCGTACGATAATGGACATAAATTTAATCATCTTCTATAAATGCCATGAAATATTTTATACAACATTTTTTTGTCGCATTTTTCTTTCACAATGTTCAGCAATCATGTCCATCAATCTATTCATAAAGTAGTTTTTATACAGAATAAATTTTTTATTTCTTGTTGATGAACAGAAATTTAATAAAATATGTCGTTGTCAAATAAATTGAGTTACTATCAAGTTTTATTCATTAAAGCATTTTAAATTGCTGGGAAAAATATAAAGCTCCTGGATCATTTCGATATAAGTTCAGTTACGAATGTCAAATTTTCAAGTTTAAGGTCTTACTGAGATGAATTGAAGAACTTTCTTTCATAGAAATGCTTAAACCCAACTTTTTGATTGAGTTTGCCTTTGACTGAACTAGAATGTATTCAAATTATTTCAAAATTCATCGAAAACATCAACAATCCTATCCTAATATCAAAAACTCACTCTCTTCGATCCAAATAATCAAAATTTTTATAAAATGCTTTGTTCTATTGACCGCAGTTATCACGTACCACAATCAGGAGGTTTAAACAATATATTGTAATCTCTTTATTCACATAATATATAATAATTAGCTGCTGAACATACTTATAATTAAAATTTTAAAAAGATAAAGCATGTAACAATGCATACCGAATTCTGTTGTCCTTAAAACTTATTGATTAATTTTATTGAAATTTAATTAATTCTTTTATGGTTTATAAATTGGAATTTTATTTCAAAAATGAATCATATAACTAGGTCTGCTTTTCCCTAATTTACCATGGGATTTTAAGGGTCGCTTATAATTTATCAAAAATTTTGTACAACATTTAAAGAGGAATGAGTCACAAAAGTCTCTTAGGTTTGTCTCTTAGAGGTAGAAGGGTTTGTCAAAATAAAATCGCACTTACATCATTAATGAATGTTTCTTTAAGAAAATTCACAAAACATATTTACTTACCAAAACTTTTTAAAAACTGACGACTCTTCAATTTGATTGACATACTGTCAACTTCACTACATAAAGCTCTTTTAGTCAACATTATTCTATTCAAGAAATTTCATCATTTAATAATAAAAAATTGTATTCTCACACCATCCATGATCGACTCCGTCACATCGATGATAGCAGCTTTATACGAGCAATCCTTTTTTTATGCTGAAATGAATAAATTTTGATTTTTTTGATGCTTGATTACAATGAAGACGAGGCAAGTCATTAAACATTTTAATTGAATGCTGGAAAAAAGATAAATTCTTGACAGAAAAAAAAAATCTAATAAAGTCTTAACAAGATGACGAGATTCGCTATTGAAACAAATACAGCAGAATGAATTGGGAATTAGGGGGTTTGTGGCTTTAGAAAAGATTCTTTTATGGTGTTGTGATTGAAGTTGTTATCATTTTGAGATCCTGTCACCATTTTAAGGCTATCTTGACAACGTTGTAGCTCAAATTAGGCGCAAACTTAGTATAATGTAGGCACTACTAAGGTTCCCTTCTATGTTTTCAATTCAATGCGCACAAGAACTTACAACTTCAAAGTGTAGATCCCCCTCTTGAGTGGAGCTTGAAAAATGTGATATTAAGAGGCGAAATAAAAATAAGGAATACGACATTGAGTCCACCATAAAAGCTGATGGCGTAGAAAAGCTGAAAATAAAAAAAATCACCATTTTGTGTAGTAAAAAAAAAATGACAAGTCGGAAGAGATATAAACATGATTTTAATCATTGGAATTTGTTTTTACGACAGAAATTTTTTTTTATTGAGCAAATTAATTCGTCATCAACATGCAACAAACATAAATTCTCGAAATAGAAAAGAAATTACTAATATCATTATTATTATCATTATCGTCATCATCATTTTCATTTTCATATTTTTTTTAACAAGTGTAATTTAACAAAATCGACAAAAAATTTGATTTATTAAAGGAAATGAACGAGTTTTTCGCTCGTCATTCATTATTTATGAGTCTTTTATAGAAACTCAATAAAATTTTTTCTCTTTTCTGTAGATCAAAATTGATTGCTAATTAAATTGAATTATTCAATAAGAAACTTAACATTTTGAAGAAATTTTGATATGATTTTTAAAAAAGATTAATTTTGCAAAATTTTGAATCATTTTTAAAGAAATTTCAAGCTTGCATCAATTGCATTTAAAACTGTGGCTGTCTTAAGAAGACTACATCATTTGCAATTGACCCCCACAAAATGTAATCAGCAATAATTAAATCTTCTCTTCCCAATTCAATTTCAATCTACACTTCCAACACTTCTAACTCAACAAAATAATAAGAAATTCAAATTGATTGATATGTCATGTCTTTCCATTTTTATTATAACTTTCTCATCATCATTTTATTTGTTACTTAACTAAGATAATAATATTCAGTATAAACAAGATGAAATATAAACAATTGTCTAAGCATGTGAATTAAATTTTGTTTACAAGTTAAAACCACCTTCATCAACATTATTATTTTTCATCAATCATCATCGTCATCCTTGTATTTTGTAGTTGGTCCTCAAAATTTAAATTTTATGTATAATCTTTTATATCCATTAAATGTGTCTGTGACAGTATGAAAGTTTGTGCTTTTTTTGAGTAAAAAAATTTTGCGCACAATATTAAGTGATTAAGTTGATTTTTTTTTCCTTCTAGGATGGAGAGCATGTTGGCGTGGGAAGGAATCTTACAAACCTTAGCTTCATATGGAACCAATTCATTTATTTCAAAAGATAGTCATTGTAGATTCTGATATTTTGAGGCAATATCAGAGCTCGAAGTCTACTCGTTCATTAAGACATTAAGGCAAATCTACTGATGCAATAGTAAAACCTACAGATAGCTCTAAGTTTTGTAAGGTCTTAGGTTTAATTCAAACACTAATCCATAGCTTTACAGACCATACTAGTGCATTTAAATGCTCAAGACAACACAATCATAAAAAGATAGTTGTTCCTGAAAATCTGACGTTCTTTCCCTTTTCCAACTTGCTCTCTCATTTAGTAAGATTCCTTTAGTTTTCTAATCAGCACAAGTAACACTCTCATGCATTTCTTTACAGTTATTTACTACAAAATTGTCTTAGAATTTTAATTAACTAATCATCTCTCATTTTAAAACATCTTTTCTTATTGTTGTTCTGTTTATGGAAATTTCTTTGTGTATGAATCCACATAATGGCAATTTAAACAGTAGTTTTATGCTATTTGAACTCTTAACAATCTCATTTTGTGTATAAAAGGTTTCTAGTTCAACTCTACAACAATTTTTGGCAAAGTTTTGCATAAATTAACCTTCTCATTCCATCTTTTCAGTATGTTCTGTAATCTACCTTCCATTTTAAATAATGATACACAATTTTTTTGTAAGGTAAGCTAACTAGGTAAAGTAAAAGAAAGATAAGGAAAAAGAGTTTTCTGTGTTAAAAGTATTAATTCTGATGCTTCTCGCTCGCAAACATGATATCTCATGTTTTTAAATGTTGGGAAGAAATGAATATGTTGGGATTTCCAGACATGGGTTGCTCTTCATTCATAAAAATTAAAATTGTGGATGTGGAGAGAATTAAAAGGAATATGACATACGCTAGGTTGGAAGTTTTTTCTTTTCAGAGTTTTAAGGATTCAAATTTATTCTTGATTGAGGTTTCTTGGTATTTTTAAGGAGGTGAAGTGGGGAGAATATGAATGAATTGAGATATTTTGCATGAAGATTGAGGTTTATCTATTTTAATGTAATCAAAAATTTTGGTTGAAGCTATTAAATTTAATCTGAATTTGTGCAAATTTCCGGATGTTTTTTTTGAAGATTGGCTTGGGATATTTTATTTGATTAAAGCTGATTGTAGCTTTTTATGTTATCAATAAATTTAGAACCACACTTTAAAATGCTTTTGCGCTTATATGCTTCATCACAAACTTAAATATTTTGCATGGTTAAATCTGATTAACCTTAAAAAGGGTATAAAATTACATCTATAGCATTCTATAGCTTCTTCAAATATACCAGTAGTTCTCAAACTGAATGCCACGAAATTCTTTAGAAATGGTAATTTTCGCTTATCTTTCATGGATTTTATTTTCATACTTGAAGTTTTTTTCGATCAAAAGTTCTTCAGAGACATCTGGGATATTTTAGATAAAGAAATTGAGTTCAATGATGATTCCCTACTTTTCACAGTGGATCAATAGGAACTAATCATTAATTGAGTTCAAACTTCACTTTTGGAGAATTTCGAGCACTTAAAAATCTTCAAACTGCTGTCTAGCTACCAAAAACCGAAAAAGTTTTAGAAACACAGAACTTTAATATTAAAATAATCAAAAAGTTCTCAGAAATCCCAAACAATATTTTCACACATCCCACAAAACACATCAACCTTATTTTCACTATAATCAAATTCCCATTAAGCGATCATTCAACTTGATAGCGAGAACTACTTCGACACAAAATCCCCTCTCAACTTTATTCTACAAATCCCTGCCTTTTTTCCCATTCAACATCATCTATCACCAAGCAACCGTTCATACTTTAATAAATTTTAAAGATAGATGGAATTATACATTAACGACGAAGACTCAAAGATGAATGGAACTTAACATCATAATAATTATTGTAATCATCGTTCCATTTTCAATTACATTACAGAATAAAAGCCTTCCTCACCACAATACAGAAATGGGGATCCATTTTTCATTTCCATTTCTTTTATTTAATTTATATCCTTTTATTTGCTTACCACTCTGCTGCCATTAGTGCTAACATTTTATTGTAATATAAAACAGATAAATGTAGATCAAAAATTATGAGGCACTAAAAATTATTTATCCAGAGGGCTGGTGATGTTTAAAATTACCTGTTTGAGGATGAGTGGAACGAGAAAAGTATACAGAACTCAAAAGAAAGGTGTGAATTTTAAACTTCTGTAAGCTACGGTTCAGTCTACACTTTCTTTCTTCGTCTATGTTAAAGTGTAGTTGAGCGTTAATCGAGTATAAAATTTTTATTCTTGT